TTAATTTATTGTCAATCTCTCCTTTATTTAAATTGCATGAAATGGACAAAATATTATTCTGAGTAATATTGGTAGGTTAGGTTAATATATAGATGAGCACAAGTGATGTTTAATCCCGAATTGGTTTTGCTTAATAATAATAATAATAATAATAATAATAATAATAAATCATTTTTTTATTTTTTATTATTTTTTAATAAAAATTGATGAAATGCTTGATTGAATATCAATTTTACATTAATTTATAATATATTAAATATTACATTAAATGAGAATAATTTTTAGATGATTTTAACTTTACTACAATTCAATTATTTCAATAATACCTTACTTTTTCTTTTTTAATATATAATAATAAATACCTTACATAAATTTCGTGTTATTAATCCTCAATTTATTAGCATTCACATTAATTTAGACTCAATGAATCTTGAGTTGATGAATCTTAATCTACATGAATATGGAGTTAATAATAATGAATTTATTTCTATTCATGTTTCTAGAAATTTTAATAGGTGTTTAAATTCATATATTAAAAATTTTAATTAGTAGCATTTCATTATCATAAAAAATTTGAATTATAGAAGTTGAATTTTAAGAGTGCAATTTTCTTCTCTTAAATTTCTATCATAAATTTTATTTTATTTTATTGTATTAACCTAAAAAAAATGCGCCAACAAAATCTTTGCATTCTCCCGTCCACGTAAACGTTACATGCACACTAAAGCACCCTGTTAGGAGGCAAAAGTCGTTGGTCGCGATCGTGAAAAGAGTTAGATGATCGTTTGCACTCTGACGAATAAGTCAATGGACAAATGAAAGAAAAAAGAGAGTGCAAGAGATGAAAGAGAGGGGGTTTGATTAGGGATAGAATGAACATACCTTAATTTCTTATATGAATCACGTATATATACCGAAATGAAAATGGGCCAAGTAATGATAATGGGTCGAGTCCAAGCTCCCACGACAAAGTTACTTAGTTTAATAGGCCTAATCTAATGAACAGTTGATACCACATCAGTATATTTGAAACTCTCCATTACGCGCATACCACGTAATTTATGGATATAACAATAGTCCCAAAAGACTGAGTTGTACATTCATGTGTGGGTCAGATTACAAAATATAAGCTATCAACTAAGCGAGATCTTATAGATTGTCTCAGAAATATAATTAACTCTAATAAACAAGGATATGTACGGGTTGAAATTTGAAATATAAGCTATCAAGCAGGCAAGGTCTTATAGATTGCTTTAGAAAATATAAGGAGCTACGATAAACGAAGACATGTGTAGGTTGGATTTCGAATATAAGCTATCAAGTAGGTGAGGTTTTACAAATTGTCTCGAAAGATAGATACTACATATAATTTGTCCAAATTTCTACACGCCTCTTTTATAATATGGACTAAATCAACTTGTAATACAATATAATATATCCACTGCACATGTACAAAATAAATTTGGGGTCTATTTGTCCCTCCAAATAATGACAATAAAAAGAAATAGTGATAGTCAAAATTTCTCAAAAATATAATGTGCAGAAGGTCTGTCATGCGTTATAGTCAATCATATGCTTGCACAGCTCAGTGTAATAATTTTGCTAATATGAAGCAAGTAACATGTGGATAATGTAGATAATGTGACATCCGAACTGGCAATAACGAAGATACTGACATTCTAATAGTAACAATATAATGATACTAAAATATCAATTTATTGAACCAAAAAAATGTGCAATTAGAATCCCTGCCTCCTCACTTCCACGTAGACATTGTCACCTACACACTGGAACACCCCATTAGGAGGCAAAGATTGTCGGTCGAGAAAATGATTCGACGACTGTTTGCACTCCGATGTCAAGTCAACGCCTGGACGAAAGAAAAGAGAGTGCAAGAGATGGGAGGAAATAGAGGTCTAGCTAAGATTAGAATGAACATATCTTTATTGTGAAATGAATCATATATATATAGTGAAATGAAAATTGGCCAAGTGATTATAAGAGGTTGAGTCCAAGCCCAAGACAAAGTTACTTAATTTAATAGGCACAATCCAATGAACAGTTAATGCCACTTTAGCATAAATTGGACCCTGTCCATCACGTGCAAGCCACGGAATTTATTAATATAACAAATTCGTTTGAGACTCATCAAATTCTCTTAATAAATTGATAACAAATATTATTTTTAAAGCACATAAAATATTTCAAAATAATGTACAATGCACGCTTGACTCTAAATAGTTTCAAAAAATTAAGAGTAATTCTATCCATCCACTTTGGTGCTTAACACCAGTTTAAGTGACAATTAGATGGTATTAAATGATAGATTCATTTAATAATAATGTTATTCATAGTGAAAACTATCAACTGTCATCAACAGTCACCCAACGTAGCATACACATGACAGTTTGTTATTTAATACATAAGATAATAAAGAAACTACCATATTAATTAATCAAATAGTAAACTGTCATGTGTATGCCACCTAGGGCAACAACTAATAATCTACACTATAAATAGTATTACTCTTCACTTAAATATAAGTCAAATGATTCATTTAATTGAACTTATTAAGTGTAGCCACCTAAATTGGTGTCCAATAACATTATTCTAAAAGTAACTCACTTTAAATTAATTTTTTATTAATTATTTTAGTTAAATAAATATAAACGTCCGTTTGGCATGATTTTTTACTTTAGTTTTTGCTTCATACGAAAAAAGTATTTGGAGGAAGTTCTCTTAATTTTCAAAATGTGCTTTGAGAGAAAGCCACATTGAACCAACTTTTCCATACTATATAAAAAGGAGAATGTGAGGGCACTGTAGAAAGTAACAGTGTCTTAATCCATCTTACTGCAATTTTTTTAGTTTTTTTGTTTTCAATTGGGGGTTAAAAACGACGCCGTTTGCTTGATATATATTTTATTTTATTGTACACTACCTCTAAATTTACTGTAACACGCAATTTCCATTCCTCCCCCACTCCAATATAGATATATACAGTAGAGATATAAGAAAAATATCACTTTTATATAAATAAAAAAAAAAGATAGACATAATATGCAATAGAATTTTTTTTACAACATATTACTTGTAAGTAAAAAATTTGAAGAGAAAAGAATTAAAGAAAATTTTAAATTGAAAAAAAAAATTATAACGTAAAACTACACAATAAAAAAAAAAAAATGTCTCCATGCACGTAGACAGTTCTCCATGCCTCCAATTTTTTTTTTTTTTTTTTATATTATAAGTAATTGTTCTTTTTATTAATTTATTTAAACTTCTTTTTTATTCTTTTCTCTTTTAAATAGAACTTAATTTTTCAATTTTAACAAAATAATATTTATATATATATTTTGAAATTTTCGATAACAATTTAACTTTAAATATTCGTCGACGATTGTACGAATCATAAATGTTTTACATTCTCTCGAAACTCATTTTAAAAACTATATCGTAGAGATATCGAATAATCTAAATAAATATCGAAAATAGTTAAACGGATATTAAATGTATATGTTATGTTAAAAAATGCGTATAAGTCGTTTTTCTTAAAAAATCAATTTTTTTATTACTATTTATTATTTTTTCGCAACATTTTTCTCAATACATCATTTTGCTCAAAAAAAATTATGCGGTATGACCTAAAAAATTTTTCAATTATTTAAAATTTCATTTTTTTCCAAATGGGGAGCAAAAACGACACATAGAGTGCATGGATATTATTATTTTTACATTATTATAGATATAGAAAACTAAAAAAAAAAAAAAAACTATATCATCGTAGTTGGATATATCTAATAATTTCAAACAATATTTAATTTTATAGTAATATTTTTAGTAATATTGAATTTTTTAAATTAAATTTATCTAAATATTACTTTAGATTAAATATTAACTCAAAGTTTTAAGTATTTTTCTTTACATTAGGGGTCGCCGCGGGTCGGGTCGGTTCGGTTCTAAAGAGAACCGAACAGAACCAAAATTTTCGGGTATCTAGTAAATGGAACCGTTGGGTCCAAATATAATTATGGAACCGTTCGGGTTCGGTTCAGTTCGGTTCGATTCGGTTCTGTACTATAATTAAATTTTTTAACATTTATAATAACATTATATAAATACAACTAATGATACATTCAATGGTTTTGGAATGTCAAAGACTAATAGACTACCTTATTCAAATGATCGCTACGGTCAAAGTTTCGTTCGACGGAGGTCACAGTTTCGATTGGAGGTTACAGCGTCGACCGACAATTGTATAGGTTTTGGAATGTTAGCGAGGCTGTGAGAGTGAGTGCGAGAGTCGAGACAACGTTATGCGCTTTAGTGTAAGTATTTAGGGTTATTTAGTGAATCGGATCTTGTTGGGCTAAGAAATGAAACAATAAAATGGGTAATTGAGCCAAAAATTAAAAAAATTAGAAATGAAACAAATTATTGGACTAAAAATTTGGATTTAGAAATTGTTAATTTATGTAGAAAAATTAAAATTAAAATAACTTGATTTACTCAATATAAAAAAAAAATTTAGAAAGATTCGGTTCTTATTCGGTTCTTGGTCTAGAACCGAGAATCGAACCGTACCCGTCAGTTCTCAATTCAAATACCCATTCGGGTATTTAATTTGACAAGAACCATTGGGTTCGGTTTGGTAGGTTCGGTTCGAGAGATTTGCCCAACCCTACTTTACATAGTAAAAAGTTTGCTTCAAGTTGTAAA